CTGTAGGCAGGGTCTGGAGGGGCACCCTGGGACGGCTGTAGGCAGGGTCTGGAGGGGCACCCTGGGACAGCTGTAGGCAGGGTCTGGAGGGGCACACTGGGACAGCTGAAGGCAGGGTCTGGAGGACGCCCTGGGACGGCTGTAGGCAGGGTCTGGAGGGGCACACTGGGACAAGGCCTTTTAGAAAATGAAGAGTGCTCCTGAACTCCTTCCTTACAGCTTGGGGTTCGGCATGTATTCCACCTGCAGGCAGGTGGGTCTGTCCTGGATGTCCAATGGAAGGACACTGAAGTCTTTTCAGCACCACATGATTTAAAGCAGATGTCTTTGGAGCACTTGAGAGCTCACACCTATGCATAAAATGAAAACCAGTGCCTGAATGTGGTAATAATTGTGCCCTTAGGTTCTGGTGAGCAGGAAGTTGTACTGAGCAAGCAATAACTGCAGTCCTGGAACTCTGGGTAAAGGCAGAAAAAGGGGAGTCATAAAACACCAGGAGCACATTTTATGGTAGTGTTTTCCTGAGTGCCTGCTCTGGAACACTGAGCACACAGACTCTGAGACAGAAGGAGTCTGTGGTTGGAAAGGGTGGGAACAGCAGGCCTAAGACGTGTTTCTTCGCTATGTTGGCGACTCCCCCCAACTCTCGTGGGAATTCTAGCAGTAAGAAAACTCAGAACTCGGTCTTTTCTACACTCATTTGAACAGGTGATGCCTATTAAAATCCAGAGGCAGAGGCTGAGAAGCGCAGCCTGTAACATCGGGGTGTGTGATTCGGGTTGGAGAGAGAGGTTCAAGCCGGGAGCAGATTTTCTTGGAAATTTCTCAAGAGAGAAGTAGAACAGAGGGAAATTATTTGGCCACGTGAGTAGGTTTTAATCTCTGTTTAAAGATTTCCTCAACTCTCAACCTTTTTTTTTTTTTTTGAGCCCAACTCTCAACTGTGTGTGTAGCTCAGGCTATAATCCACCCCTGACTGGATCATAGACATATGACACTATGCCCGGCTCCTCAACTCATTTTATATTATAAAACATTTCAAATATACTGAAAAGTTGAAAGATTGTCCCAATGAACTATTAGATCCCTCTTCCTGGCTTTAGCAATCGTTGATGTTTGGCTTCTTCTCAATGCTTTGCTTTCTTCTTGCTCTTGAGGCAACTGAAGGTCAGTGATGTACACCTTACGATACAGTACTTCTCAGTATCCACTGCCAACCACTTAAGAGTACAGGTATTTGTCTGCAGAACACAATGTACTATTCAAAACGTTAGAATAGTAGCTAAGTGTTGGTGACTTTTCTGGCTGCCGTGACCAAATACCTGATAAGATGGACATTTAAGGGCAGAAGGTTGACTTTGGCTCCTGCTTCAGGGATATAGGCCACCATGGGGAAGTCATGGGGCAGGAGCAGCCTGAACTTACTCACATCTGGCCAGGTCAGGGAGCAGGTGCCTGACTTCAGCCACTTTCTTCCTTTTTGTCCAGTCCTGGACCCCATGGGAATGGGTGCTGCCCACAAACAAGGTGGGACTTTCCTCCCAGTTAATTCTCTCTGGAAAAACACCAACACCTTTGGGCGTGTCTCCTTACTGCTGTAGGTGTTTCTTAATTCAGTCGAAAGTGGAGATCAGCTATCCCACCATCTGCAGTTAATATTTAAATCTCCCCAGTTGGCCCACAGAATGACTTTGTAGTTGTTTATATCTAGAAAATTATTATGGTCCAGCCTTAATAATTTTCTTCCCAGGGGCCCAGAAGAGAAGCTAAGAATGGCGAGAATTATTTTCGGGAAAAGAATCTTAAGTACAACTAGCTCTTTTGTCCATCTACTTTATTCCTCTGGGATAAAATTCTATCTACACAGCTTCTATTCTGTTCTTATGCTAGCTCCTTTCTTGCCTGATTTCTCTCCATGTTTATCTGCTGTTCTTGTTCTTCCCCATCTGGCTCTTCCTCATCTTCCATCTCATTCCTCTAGTCCTCTCTTCTAGCCCTTCAATCTAGTTCTTCCCCATCTCAGTTCATTCCTCTCCAGTTCTTACCCATCTAGTTCTTCCATTCTCTTTTCTCTTCTCCGTCTCATTCTCCTAGGTGTCTGAGGTTTACAGTTATATACCCATGCAATAGCGATGCTCTGGTTAAAGCGAGGTCACCAGGCTTGAATTCCCTCAGGGTCAAAAGGAGGGGCAATGAGATCCACACAAAAGAGCAGTGATTGCCAGCCATCATCTGCAACCCAAAAGGGAAGTGACTGAAGGGGAATAGAATCAGCTGAGGGCTAAATTTGATTAATATCTGAGCAAAGGGGATTTTAAAAGTGCTCAACTATGTTCTTAGAAGTGGTTAGTTAAAGTGTTAGGAGTCTATCAGTGATCAGTGAAAATAAAACTGCCTTATTTTCCTTTGGCCTCTTATCTGTCCAAGCTTTCTTGGCTACTGCTTTCTGCCAGGGCCAGGGAGTGTACTCTGTGGCTGGGCAACCTGAGTCAGCTTGATGTACCTGTAACTAGAAACCCTTTAGTTCTGAGTTAATAGTTAAAGGTAGATCTAAAACTAGAGATAAGACTTTGGAAAGGGAGCAAGTTAAGCTTAATTAGCACATCCTCCAGGCCTTCTCAGACAGATAGTCTGGATGCTTACGTCTGTTCTTAGAGAGTACAGAGGTATCTCTGATAAGATACTTTTGTTAGTCGGGAGATGGTCCTGGCTGGATGATGCTCATGATGATAATTGCAGAAAGGCCTGAAATTAGGGATCCTGGCTGTGTTACTGCACAGAAGGTTATCTAAATATTCCTTTAGCAGAGGGGAAAATAGTGCCCAGTGAATGATGGAAAAGCTACAATAGCACACGAGAATTCATAGCAGGAAACAGCTAATAATCAAAAGCCAATATCACCAAGACTCCTTGAGCCTGGGTTTGACCTCTGGAAGGCCCTTGGCTTCTTCCAGGTATTAGCTTGTCATAATCAGCTGAAATCCCACTGCATATTATTGCAGCTTGCAGCATTAATACCCTGGTGTACCCAATGCATTATTTACTTTAACAGAAGTGTTCTTACCTCTTCGGTTCCCTTGGTGACACTGACTTTTTTTTTTAAGTATTATTTCCATTTTGTTTTTCTCATATGTTTTTCTTTCTTTCCTTATGAAGCCTTATGTGGACTTTGGTGGAAGTTGTGGGGCAACATCAGCCGGTCTACATCGTGATGGGGGTGTTTCAGCACACCAGGCTTCCCGGGATCGATTCCCGGCACCTTGCTATGAACGGCACAGCTCTTGCGGTTGGGCAGCTTGACATAGAGCTTGGAAAGCACATACGCATTGAAGACACTTGCTTCGGTATTGTGCCCGATGGCAGGGCCTCTACAGTGTTCTGAATAATGAACTTCTTCGTGGCTTTGTCCCGGCATGCACCAGGTGCAGTTTGTGCAGCAATTGGCTGCACATGGCTAAGCTCCTCCTTTGTCATGTTTCTCCTGTTTTTGATCATCTTGGAGTCAAGATCTGAAAGAGCAGCACCGACTTCTTGGGGAACTCATGCTAACCTTCCCATCTTCTATAAGTTTCTGCCTTCACATGACATCCATTTCTTCTCTAGCTCAGATGTTCTTAACCCCGAAGCACATTAGACTCTCCAGTCCCACTGAATCAGTCTTACAAGGGAAGGGCAGTAATTGAATCATTCTGTTACTGCTGGAACTTACTTAAATACAACAAATGGAAAAGGAAATACGGACTCCAGAGTTTTACTGGTAATACATTTAAATCAGAACTGCTTGGATGAAGCCCACGAGGTCACAGTTTCAAAATGTTCTAGGTGCCTATGCCATGAAGTCAGCGTTCCAGGGCAGGCTCCAAAGCTACAGGGAAACCTTGTCTCGAAAAACCAAAGAGAGAGAGAGAGAGAGAGAGAGAGAGAGAGAGAGAGAGAGAGAGAGAGAGAGAGAGAACCACTTTAATTCTAGCACTGAGGAGGTGGAGGCAGGTGGATCTCTGTGAGTTCCAGGCCAGCCTGGTTTACATAGTGAGTTCCAAGAAAGCCAGAGCTACATAGTGAGACCCTGTCTAAACAAACCCCACCACCACAGCAACAACAAAAAACCCTCTGCCCTATCTCTGGTAGATCCTTGATATTTGAAGTTAGATCTAGTCCACAGTATTGTCTATAATACACACACACACACACACACACACACACACACACACACACACACACACACACACATCTAGTTTTTTTGAGACAGGATTTCTCTGTGCAGCTCTGGCTGTCCTGAGCTACACGTTTTGTCCACCCTTTCTGTCTACTCGCTCTGTAGACCAGGCTGGCCTTGAACTCACAGAGATCGACCTGCCTTTGCCTCCTAAATGCTGGGATTAAAGGAGTGTGTCACCTCCGCCTGGCTTTGTCTATAATATTGTCAACAAGAAAGATAGCTGTCACTCTAAAGGGAGCGAGAGATTCCCCAAGTGACACGTTCTGCTGTGGAGGTGGTTACGTGACTCAGACTCCCAGAGCAGCAGTCATGTCAACACATACATTGGTGAGGGCTGTAGTAGATGTACGTTGTAGCAGAGCGGGAAATCTGTGTTTCAAACGCAATCTGATGGCAGTCTTGGCTTTTGGGTTGGTGAACTCTAGCGATCTGCTGAGAATACATTTTGAAGGTTTTTCCTTGAAGTCAGAAGGCCGTTAGGTCAGATACCCGGCTGATGGCTAAGTGGCTACTGAGGGCACTGGAGATAGCACAACGCAGTTTGGTTCTTGGTGTGAAACGTTGGAAACTCTAGAACCGATCAGTCTGCAGGATCTTCAGTGTCGGTGGCTTTTCCAGGGAGCTCCAGTTCACAATAGCTTTTTTCTTTTTCTTTTTGAGACAGCCTTGCTATATAACCCAGGCTGGCTGCAAATTTGCCATCCTTCTGCTCAGCCTCCTCAGTGCTGACATTATACACATGGTCACTACACGTAGCTTGTTTTCTATGTGCGTGTGTGTGTGTGTGTGTGTGTGTGTGTGTGTGTGTGTGTGTGTATGTAAATACATGTGGGGGGTGCATGCATGTGTTTACATATATGTGTGAAGGCCAGAGATTGACATTGGGTTATCTCCCTCAATTACTTTCCACCTTATTTTTTGAGATAAAGTCTCTCACTGAACCTGAAGATTGCTGTTCCAGCTAGGCTGGCTGGCTGGCTGGCCAGCTAGCTCCCAGAATCTACCTGTCTCCCTTATCCCTCCTACCTGGTGGGTGTTATAGGCCCGAGTGACCAGCTTTTATATGGGTGCTGGAGATTCGAACTCAGGTCCTCACGCTTGTATAGCAAATGCTTTTACCCACTGAGTCACCTTCCATGTTCTCCTATGCCAAATCTTTTTTTTTTTCCCAAATGTATGTCTGTGAGTGTTTCACCTTATATATATGCACCTTATGCGTTCAGCACTGGAAGCCAGAAGAGGGAGTCAGATCCTCTCCAACTAGATGGTTGTGAGCCACCATGTGGGTGCTGGAAACTAAACCCTGGTCCTCCGCAAGGCCAGTGTGTACTCAGTATGTACTCAGCATGTACTGAGCCTCAGTTCCATCTTCAGTTATTTCTATTTCTACTTTCTAAATTTATTTTTGAGATTTTATTTATTTTTATTTTATATGTCTGAGTGTTTTGCCTGCATATACCTGTGCATCACATCAAACAGTGTCTATGGAGGCATTGGATCCTCTGGAACTGGAGTGACAGACAGCTGTGAGCCACCATGTGGCTGCTGGGAACCAAACCCAGGTCCTCTGGAAGAGCAGCCAGTGGTGAGCCATCTCTCCAGCCTTCCTCTATTTCTATTTCTAACAGATGAGTATGTCACATCTTAGACAAAATGGGTGGGGTCTGTGCTCTGTGCCCAGGGATGGCATCAGGGTAAGGAACAGACTGATGATGGGGGAATGTCTTTCTGTATGCTGCAAATATGTGTTGCTCTGATTGGTCGATAAATAAAGCCGTTTGGCCTATGGCAAGGCAGCTTAGAGGCAGGTGGGCAATTAAAAGAGAAAGACAGGAAGAAGGCAGGGGTGGGGAAGTGGAGGAGTGGGGGGTGGGGAGTGGAGGGGTGGGTGGGAGAGACACCAGAGAGCCGCCCAAGGAGCAACATGTAATGGGACGCAGGTAAAGCCACAGAACATGTGGTGATACATAAACTAATAGTTATGGGCTAATTTAGGATTTAGGAGTTAGCTAGCAAAAAGCTTGAGCCATGGCCATACAGTTATAATGAATATAAGCCTCTGTGTGTTCATTTGGGGGACTTGAGTGGGAGAGATTTGTCCCGACGGCCAGCAGGCCGTGACACAGGAAATCTTCCGACTACGGACTGAAGTCACCAGGAAGCAGGTGAGGAGGAGCAAAGCAAGAGATAAAGGGCACCGGTGACAGGGGTGGGGTGGGGGTGGGTGGTGGTGGTGGGTGGGGGTGGGTGGAGGGCGGGTGCAGGGAATGAAGTGTAAGAACATGTTTTCAGTGTTTGGAGAGCTGGTTTAGGGCACTAGGATCCCACGGAGTGCACATATATGCATTGAGGCAAAACACTCATAGACATAAAATAAAAATAAATCTTTAAAAAAAGGATCCTGTTTCCCCTCTCACTCAGAACTTAGCTAACATGGTGTTACCCGCAGCAGGTGTGGGTCTTATCTGAGCAGGAACCAGAGTTTCCTCCTAGGCCAGAAAGCTTCTGAGGTCCTTGGTTTATTGTTCTTGCCAGGGGCTCGGTAGGTCAGGCTGTGCACATATGCTGCCCGGTGTGGCCCATATTTGGGAATTGCTTCTCCTCAGCTGGAGAAGGCAGGCCAGATGATGGCTTTCATCCTTAAACACACAAGGGCCAAGTCACCTTTACTCACCCTGAGTTATGAGACAGTTGGCGGTTGTTATGAGTCAATGCAAGAATTTCATCAGCTTTTCCTCCTTAATACCTCTTTCACCTTGAGGAGGAGACTTTGGCAAGATAGAGGAAAACCCAGAATATTAATGAACATCGAGCTATGCTACAAGCCAGTAGTATAAACAACAGAAATATTGGTTTCTGGGCACACTTCATTCTGGGACGAAGCGGCACTCTCAATGATGCCCAGTAGGTTTCTGCCTTTGGTTTTTCAGAAAGGAGCTGGAAACGGGGGAGGGGGAGGGCAGAAAAGGTGGGTGAAGGCCAGAGGGTGGTAGCAGAAGCAAAGAAGAGAGGTGAGAGAGGGCGAGACCCCAGACACCCTGGTGACTGGATGGGAAGACCTTTTCATCATCTTGACATTGCTTATCCATAGACATCCCCTAGCACGTTCCCCTTAACCTCTGACTGAGCCACATGCTCTGCTACCGACAGGGTAAAGCATCGCTCCCCAGACAGGAGGAAAAGCTCTGAAGCCTTCTCAGGATTGAAATCTGGTTGGTGTGGCCCATTTAGGATGGGTTTTGCTGAATGTCATAGAGAGCGGGACCAGAGCAGGCTCTTATGAAGTCGGTCAGGTTTCAAACCCCAGCTTTGAATTTCAGAGGTATGAAACGTTTGGTCAGTAATGTAGCTTCTCTAGACCTGGGTTTCTTCAGCTGTGAAATGGAGCTGGTGACCCCTAGAGCTCTCAGGGGCTTGTGAGGATCTATTGAGGTGGTTCAGGTAGAGGTATTCAATAAATGGTTCTCATGGTTGAGATGAATTTTGGGGCTGCCTTTCTGGGTGGGTTTGGTAGGCACTCTCAACCGGGCTGCCCACTAGAATCACTTGGAAAGTCTCCACCCTGTATCCCAGACCCATTCCACGTTAGGAGCTCGATCAGAAAAACGAGGTTGCAACTCTGTGGCGGGAGCGAGGGCCAGGATATAGTCGCAATCTTTTAAGTGATTGCAAGGTGCTGATTCATAATCCCACCATTACCAACTCAGAATAGGTGTGTACCATTCCAGTCCAGAGCCTGTGCCAGAGAGATAGACATGTTGTAATCTCTCCTTGCAGAATTAATGGGACAACGAGGTTCATGTTATGAGGCCATTAAAAAAAAAACCAATGTGGTAATCCTTGCTAGGTCAGATAAGGTGTTGGGAAATAAGGAAGTGGGTAGAGTACTAGATGGTGAGGGGATTTGGTGGAGGCTCAGGGGTCTGGGAGCCCAGTGGGCATCTCAGGTTCACCAGGACAGATGAGATGTTCACAGTTTATCCAAAGACTTAAAAGACAGAGGAGCCATGTAGGGCAGTCAAATGTCCCATGAACATGGCATATTGACTCTTACTGTGGTGGGAAGCAGTCAGGCAAAACAGTGAGCAGGTACTAATGAGTCAAGAAGGAACCAGGAAGAGAGGGAAGGGTACAGTGGGGAAAGGTGCTGCCAGGCCAGGGATTTGCCACCTCACAGATACGTCATCCTGCAAGCGTTCACAGTGTGGTCATCATCGACACAGCCGCCATTCCTCAGGTGACGAGTGTACCAAATGCTAGGCAGTCAGCCTCCTCAGCACTGGCATCCTTGCTCCTCCCGGGGACAGTGGCAAGCGCTCAAAATGGACTGCTCTACCAAGTGTGAGCTGCGTCTGTCTGTCTCACTGCCTCAGGAATATCAAGCATGATTTTGCTGTCTCCTCCTGCTCAGCTCTGTTTCTCCCAGCCGGTGGTAGTTGTGGGCAGTGGGTGATAAAGCATTAGTTGTGTGTGTGTATGTGTGTGTGTGTGTGTGTGTGTGTGTGTGTGTGTGTGTGTGTGGTGGGCAGGGATGTGTGAAATGAGAAGAAAAGAGATAAATGGCAAAGGGACCTGATGCTTAGATCTGCAGGTATCACCTTC